TGTTGATGAAAACACCCTCAGCTGCCACAGCTCGCAAGAGTTTGACATTTTTCTCTTTAGTCCACACCATTTTTGATCTAATGTCAATCATAAACAAAAGATTCTGAGAAAAGTGGCTATATAAAAAAATATTGTCTTAACCTAGCATTTAGTCACTTGAAAATAGAAGGTACAATCATTCACCTAACCTACTTTTAAAAATGATACAAGCAGCTTATTTTTTGTCCTCAGAACTACAACCACACAGCCAGTGTAAAAGATATGATTAGAGAACTAGGATGGGTCACATTAGAAAAAAGACTGATGAAGAACAGACTAACAAAAATGTGTAAATCAGGTATAATCTTCCTGACAATAAATGGAAAAAATATTTAAGATTGTGTGATGAGACTTGTACATGTGCAAGTCGTATAAAATATAGCATTCCAACAAAAGATTAGCTGAAAAAACAAAATATTCTGCCAAAGTACTCCTATTATCAAATACTGTTTCATCTGGTAAAACACATGGCTAATTTGCATTATTTTATATTTTCATTTTGTTTTACATTTTTTAATTTCTTCGCGTTCAAAATTGCACTCTAAAAAAAGGTTTAAACCTATTTACAAGACATTAAATTTCATCCTCACTTTTCCTTTCGGCCAGGGCTTTCTGAGCTGCTTGCGTCCATTACAAAAATAACATCAACAACCACTGAAAAAAAAGTTGCATCTATTTTATAGTATCGACTGCTCAACTTGCTCATGCTGTTTACTAAAACACGATAAATTGCGAAAGTTCATTGTTCTAAGAGTTGTCAGAGTACCTTTAAAAGATGAAAAACTGTGTAAGAGAAGAACCCATAAATCGGGAAAAAAGACCATCTGAGTGGCCTGATACTAACTATGGGTTGTAAATTAATTGAAACTTCCCATCACATCCGTACGAAGAACTAGGCTCATGTATTAGAGCACTTTTGACAACACGCCCAGAAAAAAACTACAGTGAGAAACACCTATCCTGGACATTATTTTTCAATAATTCTATGAGATTCTCTTACCTTTTAAACCGGTTTAATGAAGACAAATCTAAGGCGTCTTGATCAGGACAGGAAAACCTGCCAAATACCGTCCAAAACATGTTATGAGACCGGCAACGCCATCACCGGAAGTCGTATTAGACTCGTGTCCAAACTTCTCCGCACGCAACCCCCGTTCTGAAATGACGTTCCCGTCCTCTTGCTAAATCACTCTATTGTGTCAATCGCGAGAACTCTGTCAGGGACGATTGGAGTAACTGGGACGCCAGCATATTCCCATCCCGTGACACAAATCCCGAACCCGCAACCCGCTTGAAGAGACTCGTTTGTGGTGCCAACCATTAAATCATATTTCTGAATAGTTCCAGGCCTCCTTGCTGCGCCTGACCATTTGCTGAATGATATTTGTCGTAAGACTATTTCGTTTTCTCTGTTTTAATTATTATTTTTCCCCGAGCCCTTCATAACTTCCTCGTTTCCTCATTAAAGATGCCCCGGCAAGCAGAATCAATGTCTCGTTTGTCTGCCTCTGTGTTGTGCGAGAGGGACGTGGAGGAGAGTAATCATTATTTCGCCTTGACAACTGATTGACGAGAAGGTAGGGTGGTACTGTCGTTACATTACATAGCAGTCTGAGCGGAGATCAACATTCAACAACGAACAGGATCATGATGATTTTCTTCGACATTTTATTTGCCTTTGGTGAGTTAATTTACATTTGGAATCAACTTTCACCGCCTTATTATTATCTGTTTTAAGTCCGTCTTATTCTCAAAATTCAAATACTGGTTTACACCGCCTGCAAGCAAATCAGAATTTGTAGTCAAATCCTTCAGCGTGATTTTCGGGTTATTTTCGTATACGTAAGTTCATCGGCGGTTTTCTTTAAGTCTCTCTGCGTCAATGTCGATATTTTCTATGGCTTTGTTTCGCTCCTTCCGTGTCTTTCGTTTCTTAAGTGTTTTTTCTTTCGGTAGCAGTTTATGAAATGTCGTCCTGGAGCTTCAAGGTCGTAACTCTAATGATCCCTCTGCTTACTGATTAACCTCATCATCGGTTAATGAGGTGTAAAAAGGTCATATGGTATCACAATATCAACTGAGTTGATTACGTACGTTAATAAGAGGTTGAAAGCTGAAGCTTCGAGCGTTAGCCCTCCTTCGAAGCAAATGGAGGAACTGTAGGTTGTGCGTGTGTTTATGTGAGGAAAATGGAGGAACATTATTGGTGGGAACACGATCACCAGAAAAATAATAAACTAGTTGCATGAAAAGCATTCGTTGATACCATGGAGATTAAGAGTGTCGATTTGACAGATAAATTTTTGTTCTAGAGTTTTACGGCTTCTGCCTAAATGTTAGGTAAGGCCGCAAACTGCCAAATGCTGCTTGGAACGAGTAGCGAGATTAAAATATTTAGCTACTAGTTTAATTTGGATGCGTCTTTGTCATTTCTTTCTACGTCGCGAAGGTGTTCTCGGAATCGGCCACTTAATCGTCTTCTGTTTTCCAATGTACAGTTTTTTTTTTTAAATAAGTTAAAGTTATGCAATAGATTACATTGGCGTCAGTGCACGTGAAGTGATCAGTAATCTAATGAATCTCTTGGGACCCGACATTTTCTCAGGAATGAAAGGACAGTTTTTGCGACGTGAGCGAGTGCATTTGAGAGTTCCAGTGTGCTCCCCGGTGCATGGGACAGAAAGATCGACGATAAATAACACCGGACAGCACAAAAGCCAAGGCGACAGCTCGACGAGGTCGGCTGCTACGTCTGCTGACTTTAGTAACTCCTCTGCAATACTTTAAAAATTAAACTAGTGGGCAGCGCTCTGCGTACAGTAGTTGTAAAACTTCTTTATTCTCCGACGCATTTCGTCTAACTTTCGTAGTTCTTTGGGGAATTTTACACGTTAACACTATACGCCTGTATTTATAAGCCATAGTTAGCGGCTACACGAGGGGCCTGTGACTGTAAAAGTTTAGCTAAATAAATAAACAGAAAAGGGCAAAAATGTGAAAATGTTGAAAATTTTTATGGGCAAGGTGAGGAAAATATTTGGGGCCAAGGTTTTCGCTAAAACCGTGACCCCCACAAGAAGTGCAAAACCGATATAAATCTCCAGTACCAACGCCACAGTAAGGACGAAACGTTGCCGTATTGAATGTTAATCTATGGATGTAATCATTTGAATCTATAAAATTCAAATTTTGTCCAAGTTTTGGAGAGGTAATTATTTTTTCTTTTAGAAACGTTAGGTAAAATATTTGAATTCAGTTTAGTCAAATAAAAGAGAAAAATATATTTTTCGGCCTCTGAAGGTGGGAGGTAACCTTAACCTCTTCAGCTAAATACGCCCGCGCTATTGGGGGCCTGAGGCAATTTTTTTCTTGCATTGGCTAAACTTTGTTTATGCATTGACAAAACTTTGATTTTGTATCAATCGCGAAGTTTGTTATTTTATTGTAAACATATAGTTTAGCATCATGAATACAATTATTTTGTATCGAATAATTTCGTTTTGTACTGAAAAAAAAAAGTTTTAGTGCAGTGGGATCTTTTTTATTGCACTAAACATTTGTTTTTTCTTTGTACCAGGGGGCAAAAAGCAAACGATTAATTCATGAAAGCGTTACGCGTTGTGTGACTCGGTGTTATGTTACGAGAGGATCGTTTGAGAATTTGAATACGTCATAAAGAATAGTATGGGGAGAGAAATATGGTCGATTTGTAACGATAAATATTGCAAAATATGAACATTTTACACGTAAAACCATTAGAATTTACCCACATTTTGTGTGTCCGTTGTAGTATGCGGCGTTCTCTGCCGTTTTAAGCTTGTTTTGCCTTCACTTTTATTACTGTTGTAAGATGAAAATAACAGTCACTGTGACGGCTACACACTGAAC